TATACAACAGCCCTTTCTGACAAATGAACTGAGTTTCATTGTATTGCTGACCAGTTAGGTTTAACACAGTGCCTTCTGATATTTCCTACAAATATGAGCTTTGAGAATAAGGAATTGGCTTTCTGCAAGAAGAAAATGGAGTCTTGGCTGATTTATTCCAGCATACAGTGACCCCGAAGACATGCTTGACGCGAGACAAACAGCCTGTCACGAAAGAAGGTGAAATAAGCCAAGCTGACCACAGGACTGGGCGGCAAAATGGGACTTAGAGATGAAATATACAAAGTTGTGAAAGGAAGATTGCAGGCAGCCATGAGTACAGCCGAGGCAGTAATGAACAGCAGCTGCAGCGAGACCAGACACAGCACACAAACGCAACCACCGGCAGCATTCCTGGCTGCAGCATCAGCACTGTTAAAAACAGGACCACACTCCTGGTACTAAAAGTGATTTCAACATTTATTTAATAAAAAGAAAGGCCTAAAGCAAGGGTGCTCGCGGGCTGAGCAGGAGCATTCCTGTCGAGGATGCTGCAGCGCTGGCACTGAGTCCGCTGAGCAGCGATGTTCCCGATGTTCCAGGTGAAGTGGCATTAATTCAGTGGGTCAGATGCCCCTTTTAATCCTGTTTTTTGTCCCTTTACATTGGTTTCTTTTTGGATCCTTCTTTTTCATGAAGGATTAAGGCACTTGACTGGCCCATTACAGTTCTGTCCAGGCTGGCTCGGGGGTGGTGCACTTTACTTAGGTGTATTATGGTACATACAGTACCGTATTTCTTATAACTACCCTTTAAACCCCTTTTACCATAACCAAACTAACGGTGCATGCTTAACAATTATCAACTATTTCACAACCATTTCTAACCTATTTTTAACAAGCAGGAAAAGAAAATCAAGCAGCGAATATAGAAAGCAGCAAAAGGCTACGGCTACAGTCAGCCACGGGATCAGAGCGGGACAAGCAAAGACAAGAGGCAGACGGTGAAGCGGCACCTGGGCCGTGAGTGCACGGGGCTGCAGGTGGTGTGGAACACATGGAAACAAACACAACTGCCGGGAGAAGCGCGCACCAGGTGAGAACAAAACTGCGAGTAGAACACAAACGCTGCCCCCAAACCATGGAGGATACGCGGCCGAAAGAGAGTCGCGGAAGGTGAGGCAGGCTAAGAGCTGCTCAGGAGAGAAGGGCCCAGTGGGTGGATGTGAAAAATGGAGTTCACACCTTAGAATTTTTAAATGTTTAATAATATGATAAAAGAAGGACAATATATACAGCGCTGGGGTGCTCCTGGCCAACAGCTAAAGAACACACTGCAATACAGATCTTTATACTGTTACATTGCTGAGATATATGCATATCCATGTGTTTCATGCATCATTCAAACATTCTTGCAAACTTTCTGATGTTTCAGGAGCTCTTTTATTTGACTTCTTCACACTCCGGTTTACCTGCATGACATCCTGTGTGTCAGGTCAATATATTTCATTTCTTCTTGTGTGTCCATCCTGCTGTTTCACATCCTCTGATAAAGATGTAGTAGGTCTATTGTAAATGCAGGCAAACTCAACGGGAAGAAATGATGATGTCTGACTCAATTCACAGGGCTGAATGATTTCTTTATTATAACTATGCTAAAATACCTTAATATACTATATAAAAAGGAAGATACTAAAACTACGTACTACTTTCTCTAACTCTCTCACCCAACTCATGACCCTCTCTTGAGAGTCTAAACAAAAGTGGGTTGGACTGTCCATCAGGCTCAAACAATCCTCACCAGAATCCAATCAATCACTCATTCCAGGTAAACAATTCTCCAAACATATTCCACATAGGAAAAACAAGGAGCAGAATTAGGAATTGTTTTCTCTTTCATTTCTCTCTGTACACCTTTATGAAAAATCCTGAAAGGGAGAGATATGTGCTTGCCACATAGGTCCTCCTTAAATTTTACATGGTATTCTCTAATTATCCTCCGGTGCTCTGGTTTGTGTCACAGTTATCACTTGGATGGGTTGGTCACTGGATGGCCTTATATTGTTTTTAGTTACACAAAAACCTTTTCCACATCTTATGTTTTGCTAAGGTCTATAATACAATACATTAATCACACTATTATTTCCGTGAGCGATACATAGATATTAATTACACTACTATTTCTATGAGCAACACAGTGCACACTTAAGCTGATAGACTATATTACATTAACAAGCAGCTAAAAAGAGTTATAGCTGATACTATTTCTAACTACTTGTAATCACTAACAACATACATAAACTAATGCATAAATGCGAAAACCAATATTATCTAATCATTTTTCACATGGGGACAACAGTCTTTGTAGTAGCCATTACAGAGGAAGCTTATGCCTAGAATACATGGGTCCTCTGGGCCAGTCACAGTAGGATGTTTCTTCCACTCCTTCCCAGTCAGGCTTACCTCAGCTTCCAACAGGGTCAGTTGCTGTGATCCTCCCGTCACCCTGGCAATGGAAACAGGTTCTGCTCCCACATGTCCTGATGGAATCAGGGTAGACTGCACACCAGTATCAACTAAGGCATCGTATTTTTGTGGCTCTGATGTGCCAGGCCATCGGATCCACACCGTCCAGAAGATCCAGTTTTCCTGTGCCTCTCCCTGGCTAGAGACAGGGCCCCTCTAACACTGGTTATTATTTCTTTCCTGGGCATACATACTAGAGGTTCCTTCAAGGGGATCTGACAGTTCTGACCCAGCAGCTCAGTCATGGGAGGTTGAGGCTACCTTCACCTTACTGGAACTCCCTCAGTTAGTGTTTCCCTCCTTGAGTTGACACACCTGTGCTGCCAGGACAGAAGTAGGTTTTCCATCTCACCTTCCCATGTCTTCCCCATGGTCATGCAGGAAGAGCCATAGGTCAGCTCATGGGGTGTACTCTCTGTCTCTAGCTGGGGGACATTGGGCTCTGACTCTGGGGCCTGTGACTTGCACTGGGGCTGCATTGATCTTCCTCACCTCTTCCTTCATTTCCCTCATCTCCTCTTTGAGTTCCTTGACCACAGCAGAGACATGAGCCTGCACTGGGCCATTGATCATACTTTCATAATTCCTAAGCTTGTTGGCGACAGAGCCCACTGTCTCTCAGTTGGTATGAGCATTAATCGTTGCAATGAAAGTGGTGTATTGACATGGCCCTAGACTTTCCAGACTCCACAGCATTTGCCCTGTGCACCTGACCTTGTCAGGGTCATTATCATGCTGTCCATCCTTCCAAAAAGTACCTCAAACACTGCCACTTCTCTCAGCTGTTGGATCCCTTCCTCAAGGGTCATTCTGTGATGGTGCTCCTGCATTCTCTCTCTGTGGACAAACTTCTCTTTATACTCATTAAAAGCTGCTTCCAGAGGGAAAGGGACCCTGGCTGGCTCCTTTGTAAATATATGATTCATACCTGAGTCCTGGGTCAAGGGTCCCAAATTCCTTGCCTCGCCACCATCCAGCTGCACGCTTGTACCCATAAGGTCCCAGACCCAGAGTAACCAGGTTGCATAAGCCTCACTTCCCTGTCACACAATGTCTTTGTGCAGACTACAGAGACTTTCGTATGTCAGGGACTTGGTGATGATCTCAACCATTGGCTCCCCTGTGAGGGCCCTCTCCTATCTGGGTGCTCTGATTTCATCTTAGATCTCCTTGTTTCTACAAGGGCAACTGCTTCTGGCTGTGACTGCCTTTGCAGTTCAGCTGGAACCTGGATGGTTGTAACATCTGTGGGTTCCACTGCTGCACAATTGGACTCTTCCTCTTTGAGGCAGGGGCTTTCCCACCAGCTGGGGAGATGTACTCCTTCAGCATCTGACTCATTTCATGAATGCCCTTCAGCAGAACCCCCACCCAGCCTGGGTGGTTCATTTCTGAGGTGGGCTGTGGGGCAGGGTCAGGTTCTGTGGCAACATCCCTAGTCTCTGGGGCAGCAGCATCCCTAGTCTCTGGGGTAGGTATCAGGGTGGTTACCCAGGTCAATCTCCCCTTATCTCTCAACACTAAACAGAATAGGCTTATCAGCACCACCAACCACTGTATGATATCATTAGCATTTAAAGAAGGTTTGAACCCTTCAAAAACTGGTGGGGCAGACCCAAAGAGCTAGGTGAAGGGTTGGCAGAAAATTTCCCCTGGTGTCATTTCTTCACAGTGGGTACTATTATTAAAGTAACTCCAAAAACATAGTTAGTGTGTGAGAGCTCTGAATCCATGTGCCTGCCTTCCAGAGAAAATTAAAAATACAGTAATTCCTCACCTTATTAACCAGTAAAGCAAACTGGATAACAGCCAGAGTAGCCTTAGTTACAGGATCCATGTTTAGAAATGGGCCTCAGGTTCCACCATTGAGTGCTAAAATCCATCCTGGTTTACAAGACAGGTGTCTGCTAGGGAATGCAGGAGCCTCCCTTTGAATGGAGAATTCCCCCTCTCTCCAAATTATTAGAATTTTGAAATTAAGGGACTCTCAGCAAAGATATGGGAGTAGGAATAACAGTTCTTTACTAGTTATATAACAAGGCAAACAACAAATACAACTTTAGTAACAAACAGAACACAAACCCAGTGCCGGCCTTTTGGCTGCGGCGCCTTCCCCTTCGCTGCAGGTATGGGCACGGCCGGCACCAATCCCAGTGCCCCTAGCAGGACTCTTGGAAGCAGCAGGGATGAGCAGAAATCCCAGGCCAGTGGACAAGAATGTATCAAAACTCCACTGCAATAGCTGGAACCTGCAGGAGGCCTTGGTAGGGCAAGGGGATGTGGGGCCCAGCAGTGGAAGAAAGGTTCCCCGCTGGGTTATGTTGGTGGCAGCCAGCTCCTTTCCCCAAGCTGCAGGTCTGACTGACCATCCTGCTCCAAAGCCCCACAGCGAGAGAGGCTGCCCACAAACCCATTTCTTCTACTTGACCCCCATTCTCACCCAGCCCAAGAGAAAACTCCCAAAAACCACAGGAGTTCCTCCTCCCCCGCTCCCCACTTTCTCAAGCACCCATCAGTGCTTCTTAGCAACTCAATGGGGAAAAAATCCACACTAACAAAGAAAAACAGGAAACACCCAACCCCCAACATTATTGTTACAATTCTAAAAGTGTCTTTGCCTCCTCACTCTGTGCCAGGTGGGTTTCACTGGCATACTTCTGGAGCAGCTCCGTCTTCTTTCTTCGTACAAGAGCCTTCTCAATGTCCTGTTGAGAAGGACATTGCATTGGAACATGTGCAATAAATTTCTGTTGGCCATCTTCATCTTCTCTCTCCTTGACACCTTCCTCACCAGACTCTTCCTCATGGACAGCATATATGTTTTCTTCCTCCTCCTCCTCCTCACCTCTTGCAAGTTGTGCTTCTCTCTCCATCTTCCATTTTGCCACTGCTTCTGCTATAACTTTCTTCTCATGTTCCTGCTCCAGGGGCTCCAGAATCCCATCATCTTCATCCCTGTAGCTATAGTACTCGGCGTCGATGTCCTTCATAAGTTCAGCCCAAGTCTTCCGTGGGGGTGGCAGGGGCTCCTTTTCAAAAAGCTCTCTAACTCCTGGCAAGTCCTTTGCAGCTCCAAAGTATTTGTAGCCTCTGTTTCCTGGAACTTCTTTCCCTTCGTGATCTAACATTTTGGGGCCAATCCTAGCATAATCAGGACCTCCCAGCTCCTTTATTCTGTATTCCCAGTGTCCTTTCTCCCTCAGAAGTTTGTTGATTTCATCATTCAGGTCCCGAATTCTGAATTCACCCAATCCAGCATTTTGGATCTGTGCCACTTTCTTAGAAATCTCCCCAATGATCTGTCTCTTCCATTTCTCAGCTTTGGGCAGCTCATTACACTCTGATGCAAGGAAAGGCCTTCGCTCCTTGACTTTTCCTTCCTCAAGCTGGGCTTGCCAAAATCTTGCCAAGGCTGTCATGGCCTTCTCTGCGTTGCGAGCCATGGCCCCGCCGTGCCCTTCAGCCCTTCAGTCCCACCAAACAGACCGTGCACACAGCAGCTCCAAGCCCCAGAACTGAACCCAGCCCCACTCCCCTGTGGGGCCTGTGGCTCTCTCTTTTCTCCCTCTTCACTCTTCTCCCAAGATTATTTGCAGCAATTAATCTAAGTTCTGAAGTTAAGTCCTATAACCTTGAATTTTATCTGCAGCAGTTGCAAAATAATTATCTCACAAAAAATATTTTACTGCTGAAATAGATGAAATCAGAATACAACCTGACACCCTGCCAGTCAGGGTGGTGGTAGCAGTCTGAATAAATGGTGGCTGCAATCCTCCTGGAGTGATAGATGCAGTTCTGTTGAAGCAGTAATCCTGTAGAAGGGTGTAGTTGTCCTCTGAAGGTCCAGTGGTGGTGTAGAAGGGTCTGGTCTTCCTCTGGGAATCCGATGGAAAAAGGCTGCTGTGCTGTTCCAAATCTGAGATTATATGCAGGTAGGAATGCTTGGCTCCTCCCTCTGGGCGGAGCATCTCACAATGGAATGATGTAATTTTTATCAGTCATGCAGTGAGACCTAATGGCCCATTAACAAAAGATATCTCCTGGAGGGAGGATGGGTCATGGAAGAGATAAAGAACACTGCCACGTCTGGTTTTAACAGATGGTGATAGAATGCATCTGGTTACATCTTGCGTTGCAATCAGAGACAGTTAAATGTTACTTTTCTACATTGTAAGATATATAGTTGTTTTCTTTTAAAGGATAAGATGACTGTGACTAAAACAGCTGTGATGAAACACTGATAAACACCTGTTTGTGGATAAAGAAGATACAGTGTGTTCACCCTTGATTTTGTCAAAGATTCTCTTGCTCATTACAGTCTCTGCTGTTTGATCCTCCACAGAAGAATCGGATATGATTCTACAGTATAGCTGTTATTGATTGTAAGCTGTTTTTGTGTTTTCCTTTGCTTCATTTTACTGTCATAGGTACATAACTGTTTAGAAAGGTATCTCAAATTCCTAAGATGGTCACCGCTAATATATTGGTTACATTATGTGAATTTACTGATTTTATTATAGGCATTTGTCACCATAGGACATGAGAAACCACGACACAAGCCGCTGCTATTCTCGAGGTAAAAAGCTTTTTTTTTTTGACTCCAGCATTTATAGTTTTCTAAAGGTGACAGTGGATTGGAGGGTGAAAGTGCTACCTCTCCACTGGACAAACTACCAGTCCATTAAATTTCTCCACTTCTATGAAGGAATGCAGAAACAATAAGTTATTTACATAAAGTGTGTGAGCAAATTTGCCACAAGAATGTAAACTGAGAAGGCTTTAGAAAATCTTAAAAAATCAGGGCAACAGGCATTATTAATTAGATGCTATTACTGTATTGAGAGACAGCTTCTTATATGCTTTAACATTTCTTTGTGTATCTCAGAGACAGATGTTGTTTCAGGATCTTTATTTTGTTCTCTAGCTGCTCATGCACCTCTTAGACCAGCTGAGCTCTCTGGCTAGTCCCTGCACTGGCTCTATGGTTTGACCCAATGCTGTCTCATAATTTTAAGTATTTTTCAGAGTCCCAAGAAAAGATATCTGAGCTTCACTGAAAGCCTCCTCCAAACTGCTAGTCTAGTGGGTTTTCCCAGTTATTATTACAGAAGCACTCCAGCAGTTTGCTGTGTTTGAAGCATCTTTATCCTGAAGGAAACTTCGGAGGGATACTACTACTAGGTGGTATGATTAGTCTTTAGCCCCAAGGCCTTTACTCATAACTGCAATTCTTAAGATCCCTGTTTTAAAATGTATTTAGGGAAATCCCTCCCATTTGGAGCTTGGGCTGTGGCCAGGCCTTGGCTCTACCTGGATGGAGAATCTGCCAATAAACCTAGATGTTTTCTGCATCAAAACTAGATTCATATCACTTTGATTTGGCAATTTGACCCTTTATATATGACAGCTGAACCTATTTTTTGAGTGAGCTCAGGAATTATTATCTGGAAATCATTATCCAAGCCCTCACTAAATTGAGGTTTGTCAGCTGTTCACAGACTCTGGGATGATGGTACAGTCTTTCAGAGATTCCCAATTACCTAATTTCACATGTATTATTAATTTTATGTGTATTATCTGAAATATTAACAACAATCTTAATTGTTGTACCTGACTTATTCCTGATTGCTGTCAGTTTCTTGTTCACTACATGTATTGTTTTGCCTTGATGTTTCTTCATGCTCATAATCAAAGACATTCATCTCATTTTAAGAAAACAAAAAGAAGGGGAATTTAGTGCCTTAGCAACATCCAAATAATGTAATATGTACATTAGAAATTTAGACAATAAATAATTTTGAATAATGCAATATTTGCATTAGAAATTTGGAAAAAAGATCATCAAATCTAAATCAAATCAATCAACTATTTGGACTTTAAAACAATTGTCATTTATTTCCATTTCCCTAAGAGACATTGAACATTATTCTTTTGTTTTCTCATGCTGTGAAACCCTGTGTCAATGACACCATAGAATTTGATACGTTTTGTTGATTGTAATCAGTCTTTCCTGTCTCTTATCCCGTATCTAACAGATAACCAGTGATACCATTAACGAGATAATAGCTCACAAGAGCAAGCTCTTTTAACATTAGAACATACAAGCCTTTTTTAAATTAACAAAAGGGTGAGATGTTGTAGATAGGTAGAAGAATTATAAAAGAAAGGCATTATGAAATCAGGCCTTGCTCTGCTAAAATTGCCAAAGCTGGTCTCTAATTTCTTCTAAGTGCAGCTAACAAGAAATTTGAAAGTTCCCCTGTGAAGCTGTTTTGAAAATGAGAAGGCATTTAACAGAACAATCTATTCTGAGGGTGAAAAACAAATGCACCCATGTAAACAATAAGGAAATATGTAAACATATGTAGACAGAAAATTTGATAGACATACACAACAGCCCTTTCTGACCAATGAACTGAGTTTCACTGTATTGCTGGCCAATTAGGTTTAACACAGTGCTTCCTGATATGTCCTACAAATATGAGCTTTGAGAATAATGAATTGGCTTTCTGCATAAAGCAAATAGAGTCTCAGCTGATTTATTTCACCACTCAAGTGACTGCCTTTCCTTGCAAATTGTCATTGTGCATCCTGATCGAAGCACTTCCTGGGAGTCTCAGGTTTCCCTCTTACTCAACACTTCAGTGCTCTCCCTTTGCTCTCTTTCTTCTCATCTAAATGCAATTTTTAAGGTATTCTCTCCTCATGCCTCCTAAATCCTGTGATCTGAACCCATGAGTCTTTTTCCCGACTTTCATTCTACTTCCACCTTTTTTCTCTGCAGTCTCTCCCTCCAGTTCCTGTGGCAGGTGTTGGCACAAGCTCTGTGCTGTACATTTCACCACAAAAACCCAGTCAGCTCTCCAGGGCTGTTTTCACCAAACACTGGCCTCTTCTGATCTCTTACTGTTTGTGTTTTACCAATCTTGTAATTTCATCTGCTTCTTTCCCACTTGTCCCTAGCCAACAGTACTTCATTATATGGCCACCAAGTTCTTCCAGTTCAATACTTTTTCATCTCCTTTCTATTCCATTTCCTTTCTTCTGTGAGCATAATTGTTGATTTTTCCCTGTTTCAGCCATGACTTCTAAGTCTTCCTAGACAAATGACTTTTGCAACTCTATTGACCGCAGTTCTAGATCCTTTCACATCTCTTACTTGACATCACACTTTTTCCCCCTTATTTTTCTTGATAAAAGAATTGTTGAGCATGCCAAATTAAAATTACATTTTAACCTTTTGATTCCATTACACTTTACCTTTTCATGCCCTCATTTTTCTTGTACAATTTTGCCCTCCTTTTTAAATTTAATGAACTCTGTTTGTCTCCATGTCGTCATGTCCCCAGTATAATTTCTTTTGCATTTCTCCTGAATTCTTTTTTCTCTTTACCTTCACAGTACAAAAATGTTTTATTCTATTCTGTCTAAACAACAATTAAAAAAACCTCTTTAATTATATTTGTTTTCACAATAACTACATCTTCAGTTGTCCTTTTACCTTAAGTTTATTCCACATGGCAAATACAATTCTGTTGCTGTGTCCATCAACAGACACAGATGGCTCTTGTCCAAATTCTCAGCTTCTGCATTCTCAAGCACTACAACATCCTTGACTAATTCAGTCCTGCCTTCCCCACCCTTCTACAAAAATTGTTTTACTATTTCCTTGTTTTGAGCACATCATTGTTCTCACTTAATTCCTCCACTGCTATCCTGCCTTCACATCATCAAACATTAATAAAAATGAAGTGTTATATCTCCTTACAGCCTTACCTTATTCTACCTATCAAAAGCAAGATAAATAAATAAATAATAATAGCAATAACAAATCGTGCATGGAAAAACAAACTACCTCCAAGATTATGAGATTGGAATGTCTCATTGTGAAAACATCAATCTAACTTGGTACATCTAACAAAAAGCTTCTCTCCCAGTCACATCACTGAAGTTACTGTTCATATCTTTTGGGAAAATTTTCCTTCTTCGTATTAATGGTTTCCATCTGGGTATCTTACTGAGTACTACTTTGTTTCATGACTTAGTCCACTGAGGTCATGACTTGCAAAGAAAAGTGCTATTTAATTGGAGTCAAGATGATGCAACTTGCCTATAACAAAACTTGGCTTTTAAATATTATATTTAAATTAGTATTTGAAAGATTATACTTTTTTTCCTCTTCTTTTGCTTTACTGCTTTTTAAAATATGTCAATCACATCTAACAGTCAAGAATCAGAGGCTGTGTGACTTCATTAGATAAAAATACAATTCATGGAATTTTCCCATATGCTGTTGTTCATGTGAGCAGAATAAGGAAACAGGTCACTGGTGAACTTCATTGCACAGTACAACTGGCATGACTACTGGCATGCAAACTAAATGCAATCTCAAACTGGTTTATCTTCTTATTACTGCCTTTGATCTTCAATTTCATATTTCTATACATCAATGGTTCAATAACCTTTATAGTGTATGCAATGACAGCTGACATCAGATTAATTGATCTTTACAGAAGTACCTTAGAAATATGATGAAATAATTAGTAAATAATCATGTTCCTAACTGAAAGGCGATATATTATTTTACAAAGGGATGAATCTATCATTTTAATAATTTCAAATTGATTTAATGAATGTGATTTATCAGGCACCATTCTGCTTTGCTCCAGTCTTCAAAAGTACACTTCTTAATAGATCTTCTGTTTTCCACAGGAGTGCTCTGGACTCTGTGTTCAGTCAGATTTTTTTGTTTTGGTTTGGTTTTTTGTTTTGGTTTTTTTTTTTTTTTTGCAATAGGTCATAGGCTAACAGAAATAAGAAACTTTACTGTACTTGTTTTAAGAAGCTTATGTTTTTGTAATCTATTCAATTTAATATTTTTTTCCAATGACTAAACCTCTAGCTTTTTATCTAAGTTTATCTGGTCAAGGCCTGAACTAAAAGTAGGATGAAGGGAGAAAAAAGCTACCTTAGATCTCTCTGTACATCACCATTGATTCAGTTGTGTAATGTACTTGTGACATCCTTATGCCAAAGGAGAGCACATTGCAAGTTGCCTGGACCAAAGGGATGAATCAAAAAGGACAAAGTAACAGAAGAAGAAAATAGCAAGGCCAGAGGAAAGGAAATTAAATTAAGTGCTCACCCATCAGAGTTGCTAAAATAAGATGATAAAGCAAATTGTATACAAAGAGCTGGTAGCCTCATTGGATTTAAAACTGTAAATTTGATGCTATAGGTTTGAAGAATATAATTTGAAGCAAAAATTAGTTCTGTGAATTAAAAATAATTAACTAGTTCTTTTCTTTACTAATAAATTTCTTTCTACCATTGCACTCAATCCAAGTGTCACATCTGTCTATAATGAACTGTGAGGCTTTATATAAAATTAAATGTCTAAATGGCAATTTCAGTTGCATACTTTTATGGCTTTGAATGTACTTTAGTCAAGCACTGGGCTTCTGAAGTGACACTTTGGCCAGTTTTTGCTAAATAGGTCACATAAACCTTGAAATTAATTGGTTTAAAAGTGCTGTAACTGAAAACCTCTAGCCTCTTTTTCTTAAAATTGCTGAGCCTATCTTTGTTAATATCTTTCTTTTTTTCTTTTGATATGGTTTTTCTATGTAGAAATGCATAGGAATATGTCACCTGTGTTGAAATTGTACTGATCAAATTATTACTGGTTGATTTCTATCCTGTTCCATCCCTCCCCTCCAAACAGGATCCATTTTCAGGCAAAGGAGCTTGTGTGTAAAGATGAACATTAGACAATTGCATCAGTGAAAATACCAAAGTCAGCTCTGCCAATTATGATTTTATTCTTATAGTCTACCTCTGGTTACAGAAAAATTAATTTGTAAAAAAAAGCCACTGCATGGCCTGACTATTATTCCTGTCTTTCCCATTCCCATTGCTTGTTCTTAAGAAAGGTTTCCTATCCCACTTTGTGTTTAGCAAGCAGAGTTCAGTGAAGGAGGAAAACAGGGCAGAACTGAGGCAGCCAGGGTGGGGTCTGGGGGAAGATGTGGAGCAGCAGCATCATCAGCTGCTGCAGCCCCCTGTCCCCACTGTCACCCCCTGGAGCAGGAGTGGAGGCTGCAACACGTCTGTCCAGCAGAGCTGATGGGCCCTGCTGTGGCCAGAGGCTCCTGGGGTGTCCTGCCCAGGTGTGGCTGCAGAGGGAAGGAACAAAACCCTATGTGGGATCCCACAACTCTTTCTGCTTGAAAAATGCCATGGGTGGAGCTGGGGAGATTACTCGGTTTTAAGTACAGAGACACACCTTCCATCCAGGGAGTGGCTGGAAATGCTGCCATCCCTCAGGCTTGTCTTTGCTGGGAAAATTGTGAAACCTCTTTCCTCAGCTGCCCACCATCTCCCAGTATGTTTCACAAACTCAGCTCTGCAAGGGCTTCCTCCACCTTTACAGGAGTCCCCAGCTTCTCCCACAGGAACTCAGGCCATCAGTGCCCGATCTCCCTTTTCCAGTGGTTCCCTCCAGATGTTCAGTATCTGTCTCTGCCATCAGACTGGTTGTTCTGGTTGTTAGGGGAGCCAGGATCATCTTCTGTGAGGGGAGATTATAGGGGCAAGGGGAGGTTAGAGTGCACAGGAGCACAGCTTGCAAAGCCGCCAAACGTAGGGTTGCATGGCAGGAGGATGGAGGGAAATGCTGGGGCAGTCCTGGAGGTTTTGACATGGCAGAAATGCATGAGCCCTCAGTGAACAGCTTTGTGGAAAGCTAAAGTCACACTGTGAAGGACAGCAGCACAGAGTTCAGTAATAACCAGGTGTTAACAAAATGAGGCACTGTTAATACTCCTAGAGGGGATTTCCATTTCAAGCAAGGTATTTTATTCACTATTTGCCCTGAAAGAGATGGAAGAAGGTTTGAGAATGACCCTCAGGAACATTGTTCTCTTCAGCACTTAGAAAACCTGCCTAATGTTCTGAACAGCCATCATAATCCTGTCATCAGAAATGCCTGAGAGACAGCAAGCCAGCTCTTCCCAGTGCAGCAGAAGCAGCAGTAACGCTGCAGTGCACAGAATAATTCCGGTTTGACCTAAACTTCTGTTCCTTTACATGTTAGTCATATTCTGCTACATATTTCTAAACTGCAAATGCTCTTCAAAGACAGTGATGGTTTTACCCAGCACAACACAGATTGGTGAGCAGGTCTCAGTCCATGTTAGCTGGCATGGCTCCACCAGCTGGAGACCAGCCCTGTCAGTTTGGATGCCAATACATTGATTTAAGGTGCTGTCATGCTCACACTCTCTGTAGTTAATGCAGATGGAGAAATTCATGTCCCTTCTGAGCACTGTCCATAGTCATTGTATGTGTCTGTCAGAGAGGGGGTTGCTGTGAACAGAGAGGTGCCAAGCAGACACACACCAGCTGTCCTACACATGCAGGTTGCATTTAATGAGGTGTGTGGCAAATTAGGAACTTCACCAGTTACCAAAAGTGTGGCAGTCCTTTCATATGTCAGTATTGGTTTAAAGAATGCAGTGAGATGTCACTGCAACATGGTGGGTGATCTCCCTAAATTGATTATTATCCCTCCTGAATCTGGGAGAACAAGGGATGTTTCCCAGCCCATACTGTCCATAACAGCAAGATCTATTACACCAATTCTGATAATCAAGGTAACAAAACCTGCAGTCCCTTTCACCCCCTCCTGCCCAAGCCAAGTATAGTGGCAGCTGGTTACATCCCAGCAGGTCCTATCTCAGAGAGAAACCTGTGGTAGGAAGAAGCTCAGGAAAGGGATAGTCCTAAACAAATCCCCACTGCTTCAATCCTTGAAAGGACAGTAGAAGGCGAATGAGTTGAACCTTGGTGGGGCTGGGAGGTCCCAGCTTCCCCAAGGTGAAATACCAGCAATATGCCTGGCTGGAGTCAGCACTGTAGAACTGCATTTATTTCAGTTTTAGATGCTTGGCTTTTTGCCTTCATCTGAACCTAACAACCAGAGCATGAAATGCTTGCTTTCACATTCAGCACAAAGCCCAGTCTTCACTTTATATCCATTTTTCTTCCCTCCAGTGTTTCTTGGTACGGATGAGAAATCAGAGCCAGCAAAGGGGTTGAAACCAAAGGCAGGTCCTACAGGTTCCAACAAATTTGACAAATTCCTTTTCCCTCTCTTTTCTCCCTCTGCCAAGGGTTTTTCTTGTCACACTACACATCCAGCCTTCCTGGAGTCCACGAGTAATGTTATCTGCCACAGTGACGGGCTCAGAAACTTGGAGGCACAGTCACAACATCTATAAACAATAAAATCCCTATAGTTGCTATAATCATGTTGTCAGCAATGAGTAATATGTTCTGCAAAAAATGCCTAAGGAAGCTGCTGGAGTATGCTGAAGGTGGCTATAAACTCTCCTTCTGAGAACAGTTTCTTGACAGTTGGTCAAAATTTTAACCAAGGAGTTACCAAAATATTCATCACAATTTTCTTTACCTTCTTAATTTATATTAGTCATATTAAAATAGCCACACTGTTAGGATGTATTGTGAGGGCAGAATTCAAACTCTCCTCTCCAACACACACTCCCCAGACACCAGGGTTCCTATCAGCATTTTGACAAGCTCGTGTCAAGAAATTATGTGTCCCTGACTAAAAATTAGTTATTTAAGAGAGCTACTAAAAAACTGGGATCTGTCTCTTTAAATGCTTGACCCTGAGGCAGAAGAGGAGGTGGAGGAGAAAGAGAGGAGAGAGAAAACGATAATCGCTTTAGATAACAACCTGAGTCAGGGTAATAGCAGCCTAATTGCTATCCGAGTGCTTTCTGCAGGAAACAGGCACACCTACAGCAAGATTGGGTTTAAATGGAAGAAGGACAGAGATATAAATGTACTTTCATCTTAGTATAGTGGAAAGGAAGAAGTAGTTGTTTATGTAGGAACTGCCCGAAATCCACGAGCTGCTTCAGATAATGGGATGTGGCTGATACGTAATTCATGTGAGAAACAGGCACACTACAGGGCTGAAAGTGAAATGAGCATTTAGATTTAGGCAAAGAAAATAACTGTGGGAAAGAAGTGTCTGATGAATAAATCAGCTTCTGCAATGATTATGACTTTTTACAAAATAAAATAAAATTATTAATGTCAGTCTAACAATACAAAATAAGATCTTTCCTTGAAAGTCAGTATGACTGCAGTAAGTGATTTGCTTGGAAGAAAGCTGTCTGAGAGTGGAATGGTTTGTAGTAGATTGGTAAATATCAAACATGCCCTTCATATGCATGAGCCTGCTTTTGTACATTTCAGATTTCTTCTTTCCACTGCTGTTGTCTGAGCACTGTCCCTGGCTCTGGCCCCTGACAGCAGCTGTGGGAGGCTCCCAGCCTCTTTGGGCAGAGCTCTTGGTCCCTGCTCTCCAGCTGCCCTCCCTCCTTGCTGCTTCGCTTCTGAGAAACGGGACATGGTGCCCAGGTGCTGCCCACGTGTCTGGGGGGGAGATGAAGGCTGGGATTTCTGAGTAAGAGACTATAAAATGCTGGTTTGTTTGCGCAGGACGAGGTCTGTGGAGTGGGGAGAGCTGAGCGCAAGAATCGATTGTGTCCTCTGATGAAGGAGTCAGATCTTTCAGCAAGGGTATTGATTTACGCATTCAACTCTGCAAGTTGCTTTCCACTACATCTTTTGCAACTGAAACTCAGTGATGTGAATGTCAATAGGCATGAACAAAAGCCTCGTGTTTTGAAAAGCCTGAATCTGTATCTGCAGGTTATAGAAGCTATTACATTTCTGTGCCTTTGCTCTCCTCTGGAAGTCATTTTTCCAGGTTGTTGGTAATGGATGTTGCATGCAGAATGCATGTGTGTGCCTATGCATTACGATGATCATTATTTTCTCCTAAAAATAGCCTTTTAAAAATTATTTGTAAATAGCATTTGATCACAGTCCAGAAATATTGCATGCCAGAAATTATCCGCCTTGAATTGCTGAATAATAGTATTTGCGTAGGCTGTTATGGCAACAGAGGTACACCCTCTGGATTTAAGCATCACAGGTTCTCATGGCAACTTTTTTTTTTTTTAAATACTGCACATGCAGGAAAATATGCTGGGCTATCCCAGTAATCTCTGGAAAAACAGCAGCAACAGAATAAACTGACATGTTTATCACCTTACATTTGTTTTTGAAATATACATAAAAACTTGCCTTGAATAAAATACATAAATAAGTAAATCAGGGGGGGAAAAGCACACAAAGGCCAAAACAACACTGTGGAAACAATAACATGAAATCATTTTATGAATATTTAGTATAATTTAGTATTTTTGCTAATCTGATACTCAGAACTTCAACCAATGATGGATTGGCATTGTCAATTTATTATACATTACGAACACTCAGAGTAGGTACAAACCCTTGTCATGAGGCATCTCTGGTTATTGGTTTTTTTTCTCCTTTTTTAAGACTTGGTGAAATTTTACAAAATAGGACCTTCTATTAGAAATACATCAAGTTCAAATGACCTTGACCTGTGATACAACAATCCTAACAAAAGAAGTGTTCAGTGACGGTGTCAAGTGCTCCATTTCAGTTTTTCTTCTGCATTCCAGGGCACTGTTCACATTAATCCAATGGGTTTTGGAGTAGCCCTTTTTCATCAATGTGCAGTTCTCGTAACAAAGGTAAATTTTCCTTCCTCTGCTCCCTTTATTACTATTGCTGTCCCCACACCTCCGCAGTGTCAGGTGTGTGAGCACCTGCCAAAGGTGGTGTCTGTGATCACAGGTCACTGTGCTCATTGTGAAGGTTGAGGTCAGTGCAAAGCACACAGGTTTGCACACACACTCAGGAGGATGCTGTGCATTTAGAAACAGAGCTTGTGCTTCACAAAAAGGGATGGCAACTCTTGAAGACAACAATTAAATAATTAGGGTTAGCATGGAAAGAGCTGTTAACTGTCTATCCTTAATATCTTTAAGAACAAATTATAAAAGCTTTTGTGAGGGATGTCCTCAAATAAATTCCTTAAGGGCAGGGAGGTGGACTGGATGGCATCCTAAATTCTATATTTCTGTGGCTGTTCCATCACTGTGCTTGCTTGTCCTCACATGAGTGTAAATCTGCACAAGCACTGACCTAGAGGTAGGATGGCAGATGCCAGAGAGAGGAAATTTGAAATGATACATCAAGTATGTGGGGGAGAAAGGGAATACCAGAGCACCTGGAAGAGTTTTATATGCTCTTAGTAATTTTTTTCTGTGAAAATCTTTTAATATCTGAGGTTCATTAAAAAAACTTAAAAATAACTTACTGGTCCACAATAGGAGCTGCACAGCACAGGAGTACAGATAGTTTAACTTATTTAATATGTACTGAAAGGTTTTATTTAAGTGGTGGATGGTAAATCCATTTTTATTAAGCAGAAGGTATTTGAAACTAAAAACCGACTTTGAAGAACATAACTTTCTAACATTCAAACACTAAGCATTAATGTGACTATACTGGGAAATATGCAGAGTAGGTGTGCTCATTTCTGAGGAAACTTTCCCACTGGCTATTTGTAAGAAGCGGCTAATGACAATGTCTTTGGCCTTGACAGTCTCCATGTTCCTCTCCCGTGATATCTGCATGCTGATTTGATCCACATTAGTCATGATTAGCTCCGAGGCCAGGATCTGGGTGGGGGATGCCCTGTTTGCCGTGCTGTCCATGATGTACTGCTTGTACAGCTCCAGCAGCTTCTGCTCCAGGTAGTCGTTCAGGGCGGAGTCGGAGAGGGGCTGCTGGTGGGGCCCGAGGCTGGCCAGCCGCCAGCACGACGAGTGGCCCTGGCCCGGCCTGCGGATGGTGTCACTTGCTGGGGGAGCCTTCACAGACTCCATGGCGGGAGGAATCTCTGAGGACTCCAAGAAGGGGCCAATGCCGCTGTCACAAGCAAAATCCGTCGTGACCGAGCTAATTGGCACCACGTAGTCCCCAGCTATATGCAAGTCGTTGTAGTTCTTGCAAATGCTCTTGCAGGAAGGTGGAACCAGGTAGGTGACTTTTTTTGTTGGCTCCTCACAGACATGAGTAGCTGGAGGTGGCTGTCCTGTGGGCATTGGGTGCTGGACAGGTTGTGGGAGATTATCCTTCTGCCTTCTGCTGTGCTTGCTACCTCTAGAGCAGACTGAGGAAATGCGCTTGCCAGCAGATCTGCATCTCTGAAGGAGGCTTTTCCCTTGGGCTTCGACTGTGGAAGAATAATTAATGGGCCTCATTTCATACACCCCTTCATCAGGCAAACTCTCGTAGAGCGCAGGCTGCAGGTCTTCCCAAAGGTAGGTGATTCTATGAAGGTAACCTTCCGACAGCATCCTTCTCCAAGGGAAGGGAACTGCCAGCAGACACAAAAATGATACGAAGTTAATTACAAAAAGTTCATTTTAAACTCCCTGAGCTGTGATGACCCTCGCCAGTCTGTTACTAGCTGCAAAGAGATGTTGCCAATTTGGACATGAACAAGAGTGTCTGTGCCTTACCTGGGGACTGGAGCCAGGGACTGAAGTGATCAGCCAGTGTCCCTGCTGTGCTGAATCTCACCACAGCATATCTTGTGTAACATAACCTATGGCACGTCCAGCGCATCCAATGGCAAGTGAGGTGTGGAGAGAGGGACAAGAAGTCTTTTGTTGTGGAATTGCTGCTGTAATAGCTTACAGTAAAATGCATTTAATTTTGCCCTGGAGTTCATTAAGAAGCCAGGGGCTTCCCCCTTTTTCTCATATGCTTTTAAGAAGCTAGGGGTTTCCCCCTTTCTTTCATATGATTTGAAGCAACTTCTGTTGTGTGTGGTTTGTCAGCTGCCTCTGAATTATGATGATTTGAGATTCATATTGAGAGTATCACCCCTTCTGTTCCAGACTAATCAACAACTGTAGGTGTGGTTCCTTTTTCATTAAAAAATATCAGACCATTAAATTTGCACTTCGCACTTCTGCATTGTAATCAGGATAGAATTAATTGTTTCTACCTTTTATATGTGAAAATGTCAATGGAAAAAGCAAAATGTTTTGGAGGCATGATTCATCTGGCCTGGTTTAGACACCTAAATCAAAATTAAATTAATTGTGTCCTAGATTTGCTTATCACTCTCTAGTTGCTATAACAGGATCTTAAACTAGATCCTAGATATAGATATCTGCAGGGTACTTTTGAAAAGACTGATTTCAGTACAATGCATAGGAAAGTGCACATTTTAGAAGTATTCCAGCTCGCTCTTTCACTGTGGGATTAGCTGTACCACAGCTCTGGAATCAGTTTTCATTGCATTTCTGAGGCACAGTTGGGTTCCAGCAGTCACTAACTCTCTCCACTCTCTGAGCAGGCAGCTCAGACCCAAAAGCTGCACAGAAATGTTGGTAATTAAATACAGGATTTGCCAGAAAGGACACACATGCTGAACACCAGTAAATGTTCTGCCCAAGCTTTGGCAGCTCTACTACCAAAAAAAATTGTTTTAAATCCACTTCTGTCTTTTTTTTTTTCAACAGATATGAAGGATACAATCAATGGGAAAGATGTTCTAAGGAAATTGTTTGGTCCAGCAAAGAGAAAGTAGATTTAAAGTTAAAAGAAATTAAAATTTAAATTATTAATATAGTTTCTTTCCTTATATACTACAAATGGTCTTTTCTAGGAATGAAGGGACTCTCATTTCTCAGTAAGGTTTTCATGTGTCACAGTTGCTAGTGCAAAATGCTGCACTAATAATTGTTGGCTAAATCTTGTCTAAGCATGGAGATAGATTTTGCATAATAGACATAGACTCCCTATAAATGATAGACATAGATTCCCTATAAATGTTATGGAGGAGACAGTGTGAGAAAATACTTTCTTTGTGGGTAGGGAATCAGTTCCACACCAAGAAGATTGAAGAGAAAGATTAAGAGAAAATAACCTTCCTTCAGGCAGAAATATTAATGGAAATTAGATGTGTCCAAATACTTGCTTTGGTGACCCTGGATTCTCTCTGTTGCTGCTAGTTGTGTGAGATTTCCCACAGGCAGTAACACTTAATTAAAAGTGACCTATTTACATAGAAAGGGGAAAAATCATGTTTGGTGTTTTGCAGTTCTTGTAGTATGCTGCTGTTGTCTTGCTGTGGCTTTTAGCTGTAATTAAGGTGCCCCCATAGAAATCTTAGCCAAGTATTAGAGCTGCTCAGGTTATCAGCTCTCTCTTCTGCTTCTGTTCCCCCCTTTTGCAAAGGCTGTTCCCTTCTCTCCACCATCCATGGCCCAGATGTCTTTATTGCAAAGTCACCACTGACTGTGGCTAGCTTGAATCTGGAACTGTTGTACATTTATTTGTACGTTATTTTTAAGATGGATTTGCAGAAATGAGTGGAAGTGTAACATGTAGCCTGTCCACTGCTCAACCAACATAGGCAAATGCAGTTGTGTTCAGCAGCATGTGACACTTTGGTCTTTCCTGCTCCCCAGATGTGAGTTGTTTCTGCCATAAGGTGCTACATAAGGGAAATGAAACCATTGGTTTCATTTCTTTGCACTGCATTCTGCTTTGCTTATTTTAAGAGTGTTGGAGCACACTGAGACAGGAGTGGAAACAAAAGATTTGGTAAATTCAAAAATATTAGGGTCTCGTTGTGCTCAGAGTTGTGTGTGTTGAATGAGTTACAGGATTACCCTCTAAATCTGGCAAAGGTTGCCACACTAATCTGGCTCTTCCAGGAAGAAATCTCTGCAAGGAAATCTGATGGAAGTTTTGATAGGCAGTGCTGAGAGCATGAATGAAAAAGGGAGGTGCATATATCTCTGGTGTTTCTTGTCCTTAATATAATATTGTACTTAATATAATATTTACCTCTGACAAGTTATTTTCCCGTCACTCCAACTGTCAGGCATCTGTGCCACCTTTATTTTTTGCATTTTAAATCTGATAATGATTGCAGTTTTCATTAATTCTGCCTTCTCATGCCTCTTCTCTTAATCCCCTTTCCATGCCACAGACACATATACACCAGGATTCCAAGGGCACAGAGATTATATCTGATGTCTTTCAGTACTTGGGTTTCATGCTCCTTAAATCCAGATTTCACTTACATCTGCCTGAAAATAATTGCATAACTTTTTGTTGTACAAGGAAAACCAGTCCCTTTTACAATTCTGATCTGACACATTTTGCATGTAAGGCGAACAAAAAGAATTTTCCTTGTGTTGCTACTGCCCTAGCAATGGGCACTAAATACTGTCTAAGCCTAGTGGAGGTAGAGGGAGAAGACTGCCTGGTTTACACTGTCTTGTCTATATGAGATAGTCTTTATTACAGTCAGATTCTCTTAAAAACTCTTATGTCTTGCTCGAGGTTTTTGTTCAGTTCTTCAGCAGAAGAAAAGCCTGAAAGCAGGATGAATGTTTAAGGTCACATGGACAATCCATGGGAATTACCAGTGTGTGGCAGCAAATTTGCTAGGTTGTAATGCTTGTAGACAGTGCCAATGTCTGCATAAAGACCTCAGATTACAGTCTGAGAGCAGGAAATCAGAATGGGAGTTCTTGGCTCAGGATAAGAAAAACACTTATGGAAAGCCTGAGAAGTGTGCACAAAGAGATATGATGAATTGTGTCCTGTTCAAAAACCTAAGCAAGATGAAAAGTTGCTAGAGGGAATGGAAGAATTATGGTGCCAGGTGGGATCACATCTCGGTGGGGAAAGGGACATTCTTCTGCATTGCAAAAGGAGGGGATGGAAACTCACAGAAGAGACAAGCTTGGATATGTCTGTCAGATCCCTGACCAGGTCTCTGAGTAGCATTAAAGTTGTGCTGCTGGGACTGGAGCTCAGCTCTTATCACAGGGTACACCTTGAGTTCTAGCTGATTTACTAGATGGGATCCCAGATGACAGACTCCCTGTCTTGAGGGAACTCAAATCCTATGGATCTGTCTGTAGTATTTTTTCCCTATTTTAAGAGACATTTTTCCAGTTTGTGGAGATACAGACAGATCCCCTCAGTGACGTATGGGATCCACCTCAGATTGCCAGACACACATGCAAGAGTCCTGGCAAGCAGGATAGTCTGTAGAACAAGCTTACAAATATTGCAGGATCCATATCTCACCTTCCCTTGGGGCTGGTGTGGAACAGCTCCCAGGAAGCCTCAGTGCAGCCAGCGTGGGGAAACTAGGATAGTGAAGAAGGCAGTATAATGAGCTGTGCACGTGGGTAAATAGAGCCTCTCCTTAATGCCCGAAACCTACAGATCTTTGGTATCTGAACCTCATTTGGCTTGGATAAATGCTAATGACAGCAAATTGTGCAGTGAGATGGACACATTTCACAGAGGGACCTGCATAGGCTGGAAGGTAGGCCAGCAGCAACAGCATCAGGTTTAACAAAGGCAAGTGGCAGCTCCTGGATGACACAAAGAAAGAGCCCAGCACAGGCTCTTTGTGCCTTGCTGAGAGGGACCTGGGGGCCCTGGAGCACAACAAGGGGACCCTGAGCCAGCAGAGCAGGGCTGCAGCAATGAGGAAAATCAGATGCTGGGCTGCACCCATGGGGGCACAGCTGGCTGAGATAGAGATGGGAGCATCCCACTCAGCACTTGTCAGGCTGCCCTTGGAGCATCCTGTTCTGGTTCCAAAAAACTCAAATAAAATGTGGATAGGCTGGAAAGGGTTCAGTGGAGGGACAAGAAGTTGATCAAAGGGCTGGAAAAGCTGCCTTGTGAGGAAAGTTTGAAGGAGTTAGGACTCTTCTCCCTGGAGATAAGAAGACAGGGGGAAGGGGACAGCTGATCATAGTATTCCAGTGTCTGCAGCTGCAAAGAAGATAGAGGCTCTCTCTTCACAAGCAGCCACATGGAGAAGAGCAAAGGGCACAAGTTGCATTGGGACAGAAGCACAGAATCACGTAGGTTGGAAAAGGCCTCTAAGATCAAGTCCAGTCATTAACCCAGCGCTACCATGTTCACTGCTAAACCATGTCCCCAATTCTCCTAGGGATAAGAGGGAAGAGAAGGAACTTTTTTACAGTGAGAACAATCAATGACTGGAACAACCTCCCTAGAGAAATTCTGGAGTCCACTTCGCTGGATGTTTTCAAGGAGAAATTGGACAAGGTTCTACATAATCTCATCTAGACTTCCTCTCCCATGAAACATTGGACCAGATGATATTTCGAGGTCCTTCCCAACTTATGCTTCTCTCCAACTACAATTCTACAATAGCAGTGGCTATTTTTTGATGTAGGAGTGGCTCACTTTGCCCACAGCAGAGGAGAAAATGAATAGCCACAGGGTGGTTTTGCACATGCATCTGAATGCTGCCCACTACGTTTGTCATTTTCTCTCCCTGCTGCTGCTCTGGAAGACCTGGGGCCCAGGAGATGCACCTACAGGCTTTTTAAGCAGTCACTGTGAGCCAAACCACTCTTGTCCCCTCCCCACATCTCTCTTGGCTCTCATCTTTTGTTCTTCCCACAGGAGAAAACATAAGACCTGTTCATCTTCTTTATGCATATGTCAACAGTTGAAGAGATGCAGAAAAGCTGGAGTACCTCACCCATGGGGGAGTGTGGGCTGGTTCAAGGAGAACAAGTAGATTTGAGAGAATAAGAATCCTATATATTGAGAGTATGAGGGAATCTGCTGGAAGGACAGGCTAAAGGAAGCAAGAGAGGAGATATCTTCCGCAAGAAGTCTACTATACTGTTGAATGCTCTTGTTATACAAACACCTACCAATTTTTGATCATGCGAAATGGATGGCAATGGGTTTCAGGAGCATTCTGCTTCTTTAATTTAGAAACAAATATATTCTCAGTGTATTTTTATCTTTCAATTGAGTTGCGGGGACATATTTCCATAAAAGTATAATGAAAACGGTATGTTAGTAAATATAGCTTCTTGAGCTCTCAAAGTTTTCTACCCAAGTTTGTTTTTTACCCAGTTCAAGTTCCTTAAAACATCATACAGACCAAGCCTGGTTCATTATTTTTCATACTTTTCTTCATCATCTATGCCTATACAAAGTTGGTTTAGGACCCCATCAATCTGATTGGATAGCATTTTACATCTCATACCCGCAGCTGTAAACAACAGCATGAAATCTGAGGCAGGAAAGAATCAGGCTCCACATTCATAAGGAAGACTTGACTATTTAATATTTCTACCTTGTGCTTTTATCATTTACTTCCTAGGGTCGAAATAATTTCATGTCTCTAGATGTCTGTTTTAATTGTAATGAGCTGTTAGCTGTTATGAAGTACTACGTGTACTGCAACGTTTTGAATCTAAGCATTTGAAATAAAGAGGCAATAAATCTATGTGAACTCTTACAGAAGAGAATACACTTTCTAGAAATGAAAAGGAAGCTTAAATGGTAAAGCAAGAAAGACCAAAAAGGCTGAAGGTGTTTCCCAGAAGGAGTAAAGGAAATGGTCCACAAAAAGGCATTGAAATGTTAGTCATGTGTGTTGCAGAGCATAAAAAAGCGGGGAGGGGAGGCATGTTGTGTATGTATACCCTTGTTGAGCTGTGAATTTGCAGCAAACCAGGAAATTCACTAAGAATTGGAAAAAATTCAATAATAAATTTTCTTTGTTTATAATTTTAAACAGCAGAATTCTCGTGTTCTCAGAGAAGTCTCATCTTTCTTCTTATGAACTTTTTTAAAATATGATGCCCATATTAATCTATTTTGCTGCCTATTTTTATTTATAATCTACAAAAAGAGTACTCCAGTTGGAGGACATTACTTAGACAGTACAGTAATATGCACAGAAATTTCAATAACAATATCTTAACTATGATAAAAGCAACACAGCTAGTAAGGCTCACTTTAAAAATATTCTGAAAAACCTATTTAGTCTGATTTTATGAAAGTCTTTAGAAGTATCAGAGGAAAATTTTTGTTTTCATTTTGAAGTCTCATTGCAACCACAGTTGGTCATGGTTGTGAAGATGGCATCTTAGAAATGTTCTCATCACTTCTTAAGGCAGCAGAAAGTGTCCATGGACAGAAGCTGAGACTCTGCAAACACATGTGCATTCAAAACACAAAAAGTGCATTCTCATTCTACCAGTTATCAGCTGTGGTGCCACACAAACAGAACCAGCCATTTTGATAAGCAAGGGCAACATTTTCATACATTTATATAATGTGCAGTATATTTTAATTCTTACCTCCAAAGATACAGCAGCTGACCAGGTACAGAAAAATTGATGTCTTCTAACTAGTTTGAAGCTTCCTGTGAGTCTGTTCTACACCAAAATGCAATGTTCTGTTTTTATTTCCTTTTTAATTACACTTCTAAGATAACATCTGTTTTACTTCTAACCCTCTGTAGCAAAGAAGTATAGAAAGTCCCATAGGAGATGAGGGGGTTTTATAACTGACTGAACTGCAACACGCTGAACTTGCTTCCTCTTTTATGTCCAAATGAAACTTCATTGTGAAACTGTGTACTGTTAAAATAGCTGATTGCAACACACTCAGTCCAGGCAGCTGGACTGTTGTAAGAAAAAAAGCCCTGGTGAATCGAACACTCAGAACAATCTTAGAGAATATGTTCATCTGTTGGCAGCTTACACTGCACCCCATTTCAGGCATCACTCTCCTTTTAGCTGACATGGCAAGACATCTTTACAGGTCAAGGTTGTCAGACCAAATAGGTTGGAAGAGTGAGGTGCCAAAGCAGAAATGCATTGCACAGCAGGCCTACTTTGTTGTCTGCAGACCCTCGTACATATAATTTTCCACCAAGCAGCACAGCACAGCTGCTTTCTCAGGTTTTGCTTTGGCAAACTTGACAACACTTGTCAGGACAAAAGTTCGACCTGAAAGTTAGGCCTCGTCTGTTTTAGCACTCAGTACCATACTCAGGAAGTTTGTCTTAGGAGGTCAGTGGATGAAAATACCTGGGGCAAACAGGAATTCATCCACCAGGTGTGAGGTGTGAGAACAGTGAATATGGCTTTGAGATTGGTGTTGGAGTATTCCTTAAGGGCAGAAGACAAATACTGTTTGAAACACATAACTGGACTTTTTAAATTGATCCCAATAGGATATACAGATTTTGCTTTAAAAGGCATCATTATACGTCCATACATTGCAATAATAAGAGAAATATATTAAAAATATATTTTAATTTTCAGTGAATTTTAACTTCCTCATTCAGTACCATGTGTTCTTCTTAGAAGCCTCCAACTCTGCCAGCCAGAAACAATACTTCTGTTAATGTCATTTTCCTAAATATTCACTATGATGCAACATATGATTGGGACTAATATCAAAGACTTCTTCCAAAGTCTTCTTAGACATAGTAATGAAAAAAGTACAAGTGTCATTCTGTCCCTACCTACACATTTGTGGCTAATTCATACAGCAGTTTAACAAGTGATACTGTACCCAGTCATATGCCACGCAAGGATCAGCAGCATCTAAACAGCATAAAAACTGGACAACACCGGCAGTTTAATGCAAGTGTCATTAGATATCTTTGTTGGAAAAGTTCTCCCTGAGGAAACAAAGCTACTGTTGTAATAGAACAACTTTTTTATGCTTAACATTAACATTGACATGATTGTAATTTTTTCTCTGATCTCTCATTTGTACTATGGACCAATCTCAGGCCTTTTCATGTTTATACTGGCCCAACACTTTTTTCCATGTTTCCTTACCTGGATAAAATGCATTGAGGAAAGCAAGAAATTAATCTCTGTGAGGTTTTACCTCTTCTGTAGGTCTAGAGAGTTCTATATCACCAAAGCTCAATACTTCTAGTTAGACTGTTGGGGAAAAAAAAACCACAAAACTTTGGTAGTATAAAAAAGCATTTCTGTAAAGGTCCTCAGAGAGTTTTCAAAACATTATCTTATTAATCTAAATCCATGCAAAACCAGGAAGATACAAATGGACAGGTATTTTAAAGTGCTTTTACTGCCAGAATAATACAGATATCCAGAAGCACTGTAAAATCAATCTACTATCATAGATTTATCTAAGTATGGATTTAAGACTTATCTTCAGGCATCTAGATTTGCATAAAATAAGTGACCTTTTTTTTGTCATGCATGTGGACTGTTTTCAGTTCTCTAGAAGAACTCAAATATTGTCTGCATTTCTGCACAGTAGCTTTGTGTACCTATGGAAGGGAGATATAAAACTGTAATTTCTTGTCACTGAAGTTGTACATTAACATCCTGACAGTCTAGGCTCTTACAACACCCACTTATTCTAGTGACCTTTTCCACATTCACTCCTGACCTTGGAAGAGTTATCCTCAGCTAACAAGCACTGTCCTATATGAATTTTTGCCATGTGGTTTATAAACTGCTCTGAGTGCAGCACTCTGAGGGCCAGATCCAAATCTGAATGAGCTGGGTACAACATACCAGCACCTGACCCCTTTTGCAAAGATCCCCACATGGGCTGAGCCTCCCATGCCCAGTGAAACAGATGTGAGAGAGAAGAAAGCTTCATCACTTCAGGGAATCTTTCAGTCAATCTCTTAATCTGTAAACGTAGTTTAGATTGTGAGGCCATGCAAAATTATTTTTGTCAGTGCAATTCACTACAGCAAACCCAATATATCAAGACTGTGTATCCCTATCCACACCCTGCTCCCCCCCACAAAAAAAAAAAAAAAAAAAAAAAAAAAAGGAAAACACTTCAAGTAAATTACCATGTTTCCTTCTCTACCACATTATTCTACTCACAAGGAATTTCCTTGAGGAAATTGCTTTAATTTTGATCCTAAGTAGTTCTGACCCTTAATTTTCTATTTCAGTTCAAGAGTTTATCTTCAAGACAAATGTGCCAGTTGTTTGCCCTCACTCTGCTTTGGTTGGCCTCTGCTTAGCCTGGGCCTGTTATGTCAGAGAGTACAAAGGCAGCTGCCTGTCATTTGCAGGTGAAGTGTTTATAGTCTAGAAATGATAAATTTGGATCTTTTGATAAGACAATATTCTGTAGCTTTCTGTTAAATTTAATAGTAGGAATAAGTGCATAAAATAAATCAATTTGCCTGTACATATACTCAAGCAGGTATGTACACAGTAAGCTCTCTCTGGTTATCAAATTATTTTATCTCTATTCTTATTTGGTATGACTGTACCTTTAACAACACCACCTTTAATTTTGAAATTTAAAAGGTTAAAGATATCACCTTAAGTTTATAACCTAGTTTATATGTAGGTCCTATTTGTGCAATAGGACAAAGGGGATATTTTCAAACCTTTGGATCTTTGGAAGGAAAGATTTTATGGGAAGGAGATAAGCATGTTATCCAGTATTCCATCATAAAAACAATAATGAATTATTTATATTCCTTACAGCAGCAAAATCAGATACATTTCAAGCTTTCCAGTATATGTAGAAGTTTAATTTGACTTGAACTGAAAACCCAGTTTTCAATGCATTCATTACACCAGTATAATCAATTATTTGAGTAAATCAACAGTCTTTAAACAGGGAAGAGCCTTCATCATATGCAGTTATTTTTCCTCTTCCTTCATTGCTTGCTAGTAGTAGAATGATCTACTACCAGCAATTAAGGAAAAGAAAAAATGAAGGCAGTAGGTAGTAGAATGATCTACATAAATCAGTAGAATACTCAACATAAAATGTGAGGATTCCCATCTTCCAAATGAGTGCCAGGCAAGTCTGGTTTTGAGATATCTCAGTCCAGATGGAGTCTCCTGGATTAATTACTCCAGCCCTCTTCCTGCTATGTGGAAAAAAAAATGGTTGTGACATCATTCTCTTGGCCATGCATTTCCAAGGAGGAAAAAAAGACCATGGATACATAGACAGCCCTTGCATTCTAGAAAAGGTGAAGGAGTTTTGGTGCCCACCCATATTTGCTGTTTCCAGCTGTCCATGGCCAGTGATTGCCCACACAGCAATGAGAAGTCTGGCTGTACTTGGGGCCCAGGGCCCTTACTCCAGGAACCATGGAGCACAGCACCTTCCATGTAGTTATATCCATCAAGGTCTGCACCCAGAGTATGAGACTTTAAAGTGAAGCAATTTTTTCATCACACAAAAGTGACCACTAGATCTTTTAGTTAACTACAGAGGCATTTGTAATTCAAATACAAATAAGGTAATAATAGGCAACATTTGCTGCTTTTTGTGCTACTTCTAGTCCATTAAATATACAATTTATTCCTGTGTTAAATTCCTTTTCTCCTTCACGCATCACATAAATATTTAGTTATATGCAGACATTGCTACAGGTTCAATCTATGTACAAATCAAGGAAACAAAAGCAAGGCCTTTGATATAAGAAAATTATAAGCAAGAGCATTACACCTTCTGATAAAATTTCCAAGGCCAAGGGGAGTTTGCTTTGGGAAGAGATAACAGTATTGGATATAGCATATTGAAACTGATCTACATTATGTTCCCAGCACTGGTCTTTTGTCGTAACAAGTAGCCAATTAGTGAAGTCTTTTTAGTTCATGTTCTTTTCTTCTCTCACTAATTTAAACTAACTAGGAGATTGATCTTGACACAGTTCAGAAATCTTTCCCTTCAGTCTCAATCTCTCTTCATTCATAGCACCTTATTTACTTTTAGTAGTCAAACTGTTCTGCCCATATCCTTTTGTTTTAATGATCACAAATGGTCTCTGATGTATCCTGAGCAAAGTACATTATTGTACAAGTGATCCCTCTGATGGCAGACACTATCCTGAGGTTTCCATGCATAACCACACATGGGCACATAAGCCTTTAAGGAGAGCAGGAATCATCCTGTAAAGCATCAGAAGGCAGCAGGCTGGGTGAACTGCTCTCTTTCCACTGTCTGTGTCTGGCCAGAAGCAAAAAACTTCTCTTTTTTTTATTCCCTTTTTTTTTTTTTTTTTTTTTTTTTTTTTTGGTCTCCTAACTAGTACCATGATAACTTAGAAATGGATGGTTTTAAACCAACAAGAATACCCATATCTAAATACTACCTACTTTTTAGCACCCTCAACTAACATAAAAGGTGGTCTAGAGTGTGCAGATACATGGAAATATATTTACTGAAATCCTGGTGCACACCACAGATGCTGTGTACAGCTTGCTCTGTGCTGCTGTCTGAGATACCCCAGGGTCTGATGCACTTCAGTCAGCAGCAGAGAGGAGCCTGACTCTCAGCACACTGCAGAAAGTGCAAAACACAACTGCTCCTCAAGCAATGAAGCAATTTATTCCCCAGCTCAGCAAAAGGCATTATCAGCACCTATAACTCTCATGTTTGCAACTTCCAGATCTTGTTAGATAGTCTTCTGGGGTCATTTTTTAAGCTTCCCAGGATGCACACATTAGTTGTGATCCTTTCACAGAATTTGTGCTATGGTAGGCCTCATCATTCCCTCAAAAGTCAAATTTTAGACAGGAAGTTTAACAATTACTTTTTTTTGGGGGGAGAATGATTTTTACTCAAGATGTATCATTCCTCTGTAAGTATTTAAATTTTCAAAATATGCCCATATACACTGAAGGTTTGAAGGTTTATCTCAGTTTTAGATTTATTTAATAGTTTTCATACATTGAAAACTTCTTTAAATGCTTGAAATTCACATAAATCATTTCAGCAATGTAAAATAAAAATTTTATAGACCTGAGTGTGCATAGCAAGTAAAAATGATGAAAATTAGTATTTCAGGTATCACACAAATAAAAGTTACCCCAAATCCCTGCATCCAAGGCATCTCCTGCAGAATAAAAAAGGGCTTAAGTTCCTATGTCAGATCACTTCCTACCATAGGAAACTCCCGGGGATGTTACACTGAATTGTTTGCTTCACAAGTCTGAAATGATTACTCACTCATGCTCACTTAAATAAGTAGAAGATAATTGCATCCTGCCTATCAGATAGAAAGTGTTAAACCTTTGGAAACTATTGGACTACTGATAAAACTAACCAGTAGGTTGGGAAGGAAATATTTTTGCTGCCTTCACTTTTTATTGAAGGAGTATTTTTACAGATGCAGTGTCTAAAGCAGAGGTTCCAGCAGCCCACACCATCCTAGGAAGAGGGAAGCAGAGCCAAAGTGCTTTTACCAATTTTGACAGAGCTTGACTTTCTTTTCACAAGATTCTTTTTCTGCCCTCTTGCCTCTGGGTGAGCTCATGATTCCCTTCTCAGAAGATCTGTAGATCTAATAACTCTAAGCCTCAGCAAATCCCGTGATAAGAGGAGGAGCTTATTCTTTCACCTGGCTGCACCTTGAGGACAAGGAAGACTATTCATCTGCAGAACAAGTGCACTACAGTACTTGCAATGTTCTTCCTGGCTTTCTGCCAGATTCCCACTGAGGCTACACACACCCTCTAGGCTAAAATAGGATATTCCTAAGGAAGAAGTGGTTAATTATATTATAAAAGCTTCAAATGTCATTTCGAAGAACAATAAAGATTGTCTGAAAGACTGCCTACCTGTACAGAATCCTGTCATATGATACATATCCTAGTTCCAATGCTTGCATTTAGTCTCTGTTAAAAATAAATCATTCATCCAGCTGCTAATGTACTTCTTGGTTCAGTGACAACTGCTCACTTGGTCAGGCTTTACGAGCAAAGAGCTGTTATCTGTAAAACAGGACTGCAATAGATAAGGTCTTTCTTTTTTAGTTTTGTTTACTACACATCTGTGTAACAATAAAATTTAAGGTAGTCAGGCTACTAAGAAGGGATTTTTTTTTTTTTTGTTAGTGTATCAAAATACCACAAAAAATTGCAGAAATCCAAGAAGTGTTAGAGCGGTCTGGTTTCTTTAGGTGCATTGGTACATATCTGTAATTTCTAGGTGGAGCCATCCCCTGATAATTGGGTAATTTTCATTGTTTTTTTCCTCAAGTACTGGTTCTTAATTTGATTCTGATTTCTACATTCATCACTTTCTCACTCTTCCATCTTTCCAGCAGTCAACTTTTACAGCTATTCTAAATTCTGTGTCAGTAACATTCATTTGAAAATTTTGTCAGAAAGTAGCAACAGAATAAGCAATTGATCTGCTGAGTATTTTTAACAAAATATTGATAGAAAACCCTCCTGCACTTTGGTCCATGCAAACCAGAAGCCACCACTGCCCACGAGTTTTTGGGTTTTTTTTGAGTTAGGTAATCATGGCTAACCATGCCATGAGTGAAGAAAAACTGGAAAAGCAGAAAATGTGAGGGTCTGGATCAAGTGTGGACAAATCACTAGTTCCATCTGCTAAGAAATGATGTTCAGCACAGTTTGCTGCTGTTGAGCATTATCCAGGGGCATAAGACCTGCCAAAGGAAGTGAGAGGGAGGAATGTTTTAATGGAAAACTTTCTGAAAAGCAGACTGAAAGCAAAAGGTCACTGAGTTGATTTTTTTGAAAGAGATAGTTACTGGAAAGGGGCAGACAACATGAAATTGAGCAATTAGACAGGCATGGAGAACCAGGGAAGTTTTTTCAGATGGAGACTGCAACTGAGATTTTGCAAGGAAGACTGGTAGGGAAAGGTTATTTAGCTACATGAATAAGAGGAAAACAATTTCAGGAAAAATGGATCCAGTATGGTTTCTGAAGGAAGCAAATATATTTACTTTAAGATGGAACTCAGGGAGTTAATGAAAAGTGTATATTTGGTGTGGTATTTAGGGGATTTATGGAAGATTTATATACATATTCAGGAAGACTGGGACAGAAATAATATAAGGATTTAGAAATAATAGCATTTAAAAATCTAAATTATGAACCAGCAATGTGTCATTGTAGAAAGAAGACAAATATTATCTTGTGCTGCATTAGGCTGAGCATTTTCTACAGCTTGAGAGAGCCGATCCTTCCATTCTGCTCCAGCCTTGAAGATACTCAAAACCAAATGGACACCGTCCTGAGCAACCTGCTCTCACTGAGTCAGCTTTCAGCAGAAATTTGGACCAGAGGATCTTCACAGGTGCCTTCCTGCCTCAGCTGGTCTGTGATCCTAAACAGGGAGGAGGCAGAAAACACAGCATTTGGTACAACAATCAACAAATATTTCTCTGCAAATGTTTGCTGCTGCTGCAGCATAAAAGAGCATTGATGTGTGAATACAATACAATCAAATACAGAAATATGTGTGACAGTAAGCACAATGACACAATAGACAAAAGCTGGATATAAAACTAGACAAAGAAGTAGCAGAATAACCACAAAGGAAGAAAATGGAAACTAAAGGTAAAGAAAGTTTTTTTTCCTCAAAGGAACATTTCATATTTGAGAATTGGGGCTGCATTGGCAAAAATGCCAAAATCCTCTGTTTCTGAATGAGATATATAAATATTACATGACTAATTTTCTCAACTGCAAAAATGACTTAATAGCAAGCATGGGTTTACATAACATTTCCAGGAAAACAAGACAATCTCCTGGATTTTATTACACAAAAGGTGAAAAAATTCAAGTGATTTCAGTAACCATTAAACAAAACACCAAAGACTGTGGCCACAGACCAAATAATTACATTTCCATAGTGTGAAGTATGAATGCTAGCATCAAAAATCCCAAATGACCAGAGAAATTTCTGAAAACCAGTAAGGGGCAGGAAACTTATAGATCAGGACAGTGTGGATTACTCCTAAATCAGTATTAAGGAATGTTTGTATCTTTCTGGGCATCACAGAAATGTTGGAAAGATGTAAGGCTGTAATGTCAAGTAAAATGGGTTATTTTCTTTCTTTTTTTCATAAAATTGTTTATTTTTTATTTCATCTTAGGTAGCTGGCATCTTTAATGACTTGGTAAAACTACTCATAAAGGGTAGAACAAGATAAATCATCAGAAATTAGAGATATTTCGTATTTGTGTGATTTTTTTTTTAACCTCACTTTACATCATGCTGCACAAACATCATTATTTACAACACAGAAATTGTAACCTAAGAATTATAGTGACCTATCAGATATCTGTATCATCATCAAACTCATGCTAAATCAGATAGGGAGGGCAAAGTAAAATAATAGAAGAGGTCAATAAAATAATTATACATACCAGATACCATGATAAGGAGCACTTACAGAGCATAATTCACATTTTGCTATGGATTTACTATTACCACTAAATGGGAAATATTTCACAATATCCTTGACTCACCCATGTGTGATACATGATGCAATCAATTTCCATGGAAATTTGTATCTAGCCTTTTACTAGAACAGTACTTTGAACCCCATATTATTATGCCTTGGCAAAACTCAGAATTAAGGCTGCTTGCTGTCAAAGCAGGCTGTTTAGCACCCACAGACTGGAGAGACAAAAGGGTATATTACTGACACTGCTCTCTGGTGACCCTGAGGAACTCTATTAAAATACAGTTGCTAAGGTCAGTGGTCCTGGTCTCTGATGACTACCCTGAATGGCTGGGATTTTCTTTTTTACTGAAGTGTTTGAATCACTTAAGTTATTAAAAAGAGAAGACTGGACTCTGGATCCCATATCTCCACATCTGCCCAGTTACATCCCGCAGCTTCTCTGCAGACCCAGCGGTACCTTCAGTGTGAAGCACAAGCTCTCCCAAAGAGCAGAGGCTGCTTGGTCACTGCCTTGCTGCCCTTCAGTTGTGGTTAAGGAGAGGACAGAGAGGAGACAATTTTAGCCATTCAGTTGTTGGCTTTGCTGCCAAGCAATGTGACCTCTGTGATGAACTGAGCAGGTCTGACCAGCTCTGCACAGCAAGGGATGGGCACTTTCTATTAACTCTGCGGGTTCTGAGAGCAGCCCAGGGGAAAAGGACAAACTGCCAATTCCTTGAATCACTGCCCTGGCAGCTATGGAGGGCAGGGGAGGGGAGGAGAAACAAAGTTACCCCTTTTGTTTAATTCAATTACTTATGATTAGGACATACCTCTTACACAGTGGAATGCTTCTCAATGTAATAAGCGTCAACCTGACGTGAGGAACAGTGGGTATCTTTGTAGAGCAGGAGGGAAGGAGCTTTGTCCTGTCCTCTAAAAAATATGTTCTTATGAAACCACTTGAGAACTGAGAACTTGTTTTACCTGAAGACTGGAAAGAATAATCCTTTTACTTTTTTTTTTTCAATAATTTTTTTTATTCTTTAATTCTCCAGCCCTCAGGCCCAAAACCACAGAATATTATTGGACTGACCTGCTCCAGGTGACATTCTGCATGTTTAAAGGCACAAAGCTCAGAAGGAACAATTGAGCCTGATGAGATTTGAATTAATGAGATAAAACTTAATTTATAAGATTTAGTAAGAGATGGACACTCTGCCTTTGAAGTGCTTTGATTGCAGAACACAGCCCAGTTTCTCATTCTTTACCTTCTGAGGTACATGAACTGAGCATTGCTCATGAAAGTGGAGAGTAAACTTTCCACAACTGGGGAAATTCCTTATAATCAAGACAGCCTGGGAACTTGAACCAACAAATGAGGGGCAGAGCAACTGTGGAAAAAGTACAGTATCCACTCACCTGCTGCTCTGTGTACAGAAGGCCACACATATCACATTCAAGGAAAGTATCTTATCACTTTTCTTCCACAACAGCCTCTTCCTTAGTGAGTGATTACCTATCAGATTTGCTTGGGAGGCTGATTTTTTAAAGTTTACCTGATGAGGGCTTTTCACATAGCAAAAAGACAGTGTGTCATTCTTAAATCCTCCCTCGCCTGCCCACAAAGCTCCCACAAGAAATGTGCTTTGTTAGCTGGGAGCACTTGTTTTACATACACTGTCTCAATTGTCAAAATTACAAAAAAGTTAAACCTTCTGCTGATGTATATAAGGAAAACAGCATTTCAGCCACAGAACAGCTCTGTGTTTTACATAAGGCTTCTAATTATTACAAAATTTTAAAGAGGAAGAGGCAAAAAGAAAACAGAAATCAGTCTTTTTGGAGAAGATATGGAAAAAAATCTTTTATTTGGATTTTGAGTCATCTGATAACTTAAGGCGTAGCATAACTGAATGTCTAGGCAAAAAACAGATGGTGTTTTCAACCTTGCAAGAGGGTGATGGGGGGACTTTCTAAGTTCGCTCCCAACCTAAATTGTTTTATGAAAATAACGGCATTGTACTATTAGAAAACCACTTACTACTTTATGCTATTTGACTTATATTGTGATGTTATTTTAATGTAATATCTGGAATTATTATATTATACAAAACTTTATCTCTGTTTTCATTACATATATATATATGAAGACATTTACTCAATCATATGCACTACATCTATACCTATGTATATATATCTATATCTCTGTGTATTAACTATAATTATTTAGTGTACATACCATTTATTTTCAAAGTTCATATCCTGCATTTATTGTGAATAAATAGAACTGTATTTCCCTATGTTTCATATGCCTCCCAGATTTCTAATAGCCTCAGTTCCATTTTGTTTTAGCAGACTTATGTGCTCCATCATCATAAAAGTCTGTAGAAAATACACCATGGATGTAGGTATTGTCTGTCCACTCACTGTTTTCATGTTGCTTACAAAAGTACAGCAAACAAACCAGTAAGCAAAGATAACACAAATAAACTCATTTTTATGTTAAAGTTTTCATAATGTTTATTTCTTAAATAAGCAGTGCTAAAGAGAAGCAAATACACACATCAAGCCCATTTTAGGACATCCATAGGAGACAAGCACATCTCCTTGCCTTCTTAAATTCACTGCAAAAGCTTCCTTTGACTGCAGGGGGAGCAAGAATTTTCCTAAAGTATTTTTGAAGCATTTAGCTGTGTTGCCCTCACTGTGTAGCGTCTTGCTTGTTAGCTAGATAATTATATAGAACAGAAAGAATGAACTACATACATAGCATATGAAGCACTGAGCAGTGTGTTGCCTCAGGCTGAGTCTCTGTAGAAACAAATGTATAAAAGAGGCTAAAGTTAGTAATTTAATTTCTTTGTATTATTATACCAAAAATATAATTTCATACAGAATGAACAGCCAGATATAAATTTATCTTGGAATAACAGGAAATTCATATTGTTAGAAAGGTAATTTTTCTACTTCTGCAATAAATAGATGAGTTTTATCAGTGCTACACTGTGTTCTTCACCTGAATATGTAGCCTTATGATTTAATCTATGCTCCTATTATATTTTGTCCTAATATCCTCAATAAGGATTATATATGGACAAATCATTCTTTTGTATTCATTAGAATCTTATTAAACTGCATAGAAGAATCAATGCAGCTTCTAGAAGTTAATGTACTCACAGGGATGAGTCAGAAATAAGGTAGCTGGAACAGTTTCCACCCCAGCTCTAAGTCTGCCCCTAAGAAGCTTCTGCTCCTGCAGAAGAGCGCTATAACCTGGAAATAACCAAATGCTATGAGTAAGCTCTTCTGATAATGGACCAAGAGCATTACTGCAATTAGAAGTTGATAACAAGGAGCTGCAATATGAAGATTGACACACATTCTGTTATCAAACCACTGATAGGTAGATTGAAATGTCAAGGGCCCTGTGCTGCAGTTATCAGGAGCTCACCTCAGGAAACCCGGGCAGGAAACTATGTTTTGAGGTACATTAAAGAAAAGCAGGAACCATTCAGACAGTATGTAAATTCAACATAATTTGACCATGTATAGAACTCCACAATAAACTATTGAAATAGCCATAAATGGCAGAAGAGGTGGAGCCATCTGCAAATATAAGCCTGTAAGAAATACCTCCTGCTGCATCAGTGTCTGTGCTTTAGAATCAGGAATGCAAACATGACCACTCAGCTTGCCTGCAATGCTCCCTACTAAGTGTTACCTTATGGTCATCCCAGGGAAAGACAGCCTTTATCTTTACCTCAGCTCCAGCATCCTGCCCAGCAGGTTTGGCTGTAAACCAGCTGGGTGTGACAGAGGCAGGTGTTAACCCCAGCATTGCCCTGGGTTTCCAGCACTGACACAGGCCTGGTGTGTCAGGGCAGTGTGGTCAGCAGTTCATCCTCACCTTGCAGGACTGGAGCAAGAAGAGCTGAACTGCTCACTGTTTCAGAAAAGCATCTTCTTTTTGTGTGTTGTGCTCCTCCACCACTGCACCAGGAAAGCACATTCTTTAGATCTGCTCTCCTAAGTATTGCCTAAAATATGTGGTCTCGGCAGATGCTCAGAAAGCAAACAATAAATCATCAAAATGTCAAATTCAGTCTTTGAAGATCAGTCCACATATCCACTTTCTCTTTGGGTGATAGGGCTTTTTGCCTTAATGATATCTACTAGATATGTCACAGCTTTCTCATACTTTCTCCAGGATACTTTTGAGTTTACCTCAGTTATCCTCCACTACTAAAGAGCCTTTTTCTCTTGGGAAGTTTCATTGATAGCTTAGTTCTCTTCCTCTCTGTGTTCTGCTGGGAGTTTACTTTAGTGGATGATATCTGAGAGTTTCTTCTTTCTAGAGCAGGGTTGTTTCTTTCTTTCTCCATGAGCACAGCCTTGAGGTTCTGCTTTGGCAATCATGGAAAGAAATATATGCAATATCTCCCAGATTCATTTCAAATGCAATTCAATTCTCAATAAAACACAG